CCGCTTCCTATGTTTCTGGCTCAAACCCTGGTCAGCTTTTGAAATGATAATAAGCAGATGGCTTTCTCCTCTGGTTTGCCATTTCTAACCCAGTGAATGTTTCTGCTCTTGATTCATCATAGTGGGGATGCCATGTGTGGTAACTACCTAGTATTCCCCAGCCTGCCTCCTCAGCTGCTAAACACAGGGTAGCCTGGATTGATTCTTCACCAGTGACCAGGCAATTGACACCACATCAAGATGTCAGTTTGTTGCAGTTCAAGGTGAATTTCTCTTTCTTCTAGTCTGTGACATGAATGTTCAGAGAGGTAGGTCTGGGGGACTGCCCAGTGGAGACCTCTTGCTGGCTGGTATTTTTCTAGAAATGAGCTTTCAGGGGAGAGCCAGGAGCTGCAGGATTGATTGGATGTTGTCACCCTACTGTCACAGGGGCGGGGCTGGACTGATTGCGTTATTTAGAGCTGTGTTTGATTTTCTTGCTTGCTTTTCCAAAGACAACAGCCGAAGGCAACTGCGTTTGGAAAGCAGCACATTTGTCTTACGATCTAATCTAGTTGAACTTCACTTTTACCTACGACTCCATACCCAATTGCCCCCATTCACAATGCCAGCCCTGGGGTTTGCCAGAACAGCAGGCCAGGCTCCGTGGCTGTGGAAGCTGGCCACATATATATGGAGGAAGATCTAGATGCCAGCCCAGCAGTGGGTTTTAACTAGTACTCCATGGAAAGAAGTTTTTCAGGAGTTCTGCAGAGAAGCATGGAAAATAGTTTTGGAATGTCTGATGTTTAACTTTCTTGGCTGTTCCAGTGCTTTGTTGTTTTTTGATTGCTAACCAGACCTGCCAATGTAACAATTCCCCAAGCCTTAGGTTAGCTAGAGTATAAAGGGAGTGCAGACCTTCCGATCTCAAACATAATTTGCAGAGGAGAAACGTTTCCAGCCACAGAGGGTTAGTGTTTTCATGGGAGGTGATGTGCAACACTTAGGGATGGTCATAGGGGTAAAAAAAAAAACCAATTTTTTTTTTATTTTAAAGGAACTTTTGTAAATACAGGTTGAGCATCTCCTGCCTCAACAATCTGGAATTTGACATGCTCCAGTTCTGAAGATTGCTGTGCACTCACTGATGGGATGCCACAACTGGAATGTTCCTCACCATGTGGTGCTGCTTTAGCATGTGGTCCTTTAAAACATTACATACAATTTTAACTTTAGGCAACATGTGAAGCATGTATATGACACATGTGTATGTAACTGTTCTAAAACTAAACAATAAGCCTCCGGCATAGTTGTGAGGCCAGGCTTCTTGGATAAAGGACGTGCAACCTGTAGACTTGATCTAGGAACTTACAGGACTGACAGGTTTGGCACGAAGACCCTTCTCTTACAGGACGCTGAGCTCCATTAACTTATAATCACAGTTTCCCTGTGTTTCATAAACAGTAGAAATTGGTAAAGGAAGATAGATTTACTCATGGTTTGGCTCAAATGTATAAGTGTATTATGCATTTGTATGTATGTGCAGTTTTCTCCCCACTCTGCCTGTGGCTGTTTTACAATTCATAGAAAGTCATGAGGCAAAGGTTAGGACATAAGCAAATTTAGCTGTAAGATGCTTTAATCACTCTTTTCCTGGGAGAAAGGGGTCCCAGGCCCTAGGTTTCCCTTAAGTCTCTGGTACAGGGGTAAGTTTTTTGAAACTTAAGTTCAGACCAAGAAAATTGGAGCCATAGAGAGCACCCTCTTTTTGAGGCAGCCCTGGCAACTTGCCATGTAGACCAGGCTAGCTTCTAACCAACAGAGTTCTGCCTACTTGGGCCCCCAGAGCTGGAATTTAAGATGTGCAACATCATGCTTCTCAAGAACCCTCGGTTTTGAAAGAGAAAAGAATCAGTTTTTGTGAGAGGTCTTCCCAGTTTAGACCCAGAAGGATTGTTTGTCACTAGGTGCATGCCTTTGAGAAATGGAGAAGGGAAGCGTTTGGCATCTTTTCCTTGGAAGTCAGCTTCCTCTTTGATTCCTGCATGTCCGTTAGAAGCACTCATTCCACAAGTGAAATAAAATAAGAGTCTGGTCGTCCCCATCTTCTCTCACCTCCTGGCTTTAGCAGAAGACCATGATTTTATCTTGGTAGCATAGACATCAGGACTCCCTCTTCCATCAGTGTCTTGGAGAACGTTTGAAACACAGTGCACTGTGTGGAGTGAAGTGACTATGTCATGGTCCTGTATCACACTGATAGAGGGCAGGTCAACCATGAGAGGCAGGACACAGAAGGAAAGGAATAAAGGAGAACCCAGGCTTCCTTTCCTGCTCCTCTATCCCCATGCTCTGAATTTTGAAGTCACACACTGAAAGCCTGTGGGGTCCAGGCAGAGCATGCGCACTGTGGCATGGATGAAGAAGGCCTCTGGAGGTGGGCACACTCCCGGCACTTCTGCTTTTCTCTCCACGATTAATCAGTGCACACGAAGTTGGCTCTTGGGTGTTTTGCCTTAGGAAGAAGTCTTTATTATTTCATTCTGAGTGTCATTCCCCAAAAGTTTTATAGAATGTGGTTCTCTGAGCCAACAGCTGCCATTTTCATCAGATTAACTGTGCCTGCTTGCAGGGAGTCCATAACCACTCAGTTTACTACCCGTTGACATTTCCGCATGCAAGAAAGAACAAGGGGTTGTCAGTGAACTCTCATCCAAGATTCCAGCTGCTCCTCCCAGCCATCTCTACTCAGTTTTGCTGTACGTGCCCGTATCTTGGACTCCTGGGAGACACTATAATAGATAGTAACTTGATGCTAACTGAAGAGGAACTCCATCTATGAGACTATATATAGGGAAGACATTATTACTATTGGTTGAAGCCTTAACAGTGTGGCTGCTTCGAGGTCACCTATACTCCTGTAGGTATCACCTCTCCTTTGCTCTGTAAGTGAGCCCAATAAATGAACTGCTTCCCCACGTTGAACTCTGGTAGAATCCTACTGTTGTTTGTTGTTGAGGCCTTATAAGGAGTGGGTAGATGTTTATGTCTCCTCAAGGAGGGATTCTTGTAACACTCAGGGATGTGTGGATGGCTTTTTTTGCTTGGTTGAAATCCAAGGTAACCTCCAAAGTGAGTGAAGAAATGTTTACCTTACTTTGCAGTCCACAGCTTGTCTCTCCTTGCTACATAAATTTATTATGTTATTTTTAGAATGCTTATTTAGTGTATAGAGCTGACCAAGGAGAATTTGAGCCTTTTATTAGAGCATATCTGTGTCTTCTATCTCTCGACTCCACTGGCAGAGACTAAGAACAGTCCATCAAGCTTCTCCCTCTACTAGGAGGAGGATGATTTATTAAGAGGAAGAAAAACAACCATCCCTCTGCATCCCTCCTGAGTTTGTCTGAAACCGAACACAATTATCCCTTGGTGTATGTGACCTTTGTTCCCTGGGACTCCATGGATACCAGTATTCACAGATGCTGAAGTCTTCTACATCAGAGGGACTATTTGCATGTGACCCACCCTCAAGCTCGAATATCCTTTCAGGTCTCTCTAGGTCAATTACAATTCCTAATACAATGTATATATTGTGTTCAAAGATGCCCCTACTATACTCTTTGGGAGACAACAAGGAGGAAAAAAGTCAGTATGTTTAGAAAAAAATGCATTAAAAGAATAATTTTTTTGTGGCTACAGAGCCTGTATATTTTACAGGCCAACTCTGAATGCTTGTCATAAAAATAAATTATTTTTCATGAAAGGAGAGGCTGTGATTATCTGGCAGCTCCCATCTGGGGCTGTGACATCAATGATGACAATGGTTTCTTTCATTTTTTTTTCTTTTTGTTACAATGCTGTTAGCCAATGTCCAGGGATTCTCATTGGCTAGTTCTGTCTGAAGTATTAACCCATGACTACTAATATATATTTCTATATGGACTTATCTTTCCCAGGACACCCTCCTGACAGGTTCTTTCCTCCTGGGAGATCACATGGCAACTCCTACTCTTGACTACATTTCCCAGAATCCTCTTCAACACCTATCTTGCCTCCCTATTGGCCAGCAGTGCTTTATTAATCAACCAGTGGTTTCTTTCTTTTTTTAAAAATGTTTTATTGCAATTACTTATTTGTGTGTGTGTGCAGGAAGACATGGTGCTAAGAGTCCTACAGCTGGATCTGTAGGCAGCAGGAAGAGAGAGTGCTATTGGCCCTGGCTTGGGCTTTTGAAAACCTCACAGCCTACCCCCAGTGACATACTTTCTCCCACAAGGCCATACCTCCTCTTAATCCTTTCAAATAGTGCCTCTCCTTGGTGACTAAGCATTCAAATGAGCCTCTTGGGCCTTCTCCTACTCAAACTACCACACCTGCCCAGTCATGTTGTCATATTGTAAGCCCAATCGTTTTCTGTTCATACATTAGCTTCTTTCTACTTTGTGTGGCAAGGTGGAGGCGGTCCTGTGTCTGGCAGATGAGCTCGTTGTCTCTGACTTTGCCCCTCTGCTTTCTGGTGTTACTATCACTGCTTATGAACTTCTAGCTACAGACTGAGCTTTGCCTACTGCTAAAATGCCTCACTTGGTCCTGCCCATCTTTCCTGGAATAAGACTCTACCCCACTAGAAAATACTTTTCCAGCCCTCACAGCAACTTAAACTTTGGCAACTTTAGAGGCCCTCATGGTCCACACCCACCTGCTTTTGGTGATGTTTAGCTATCAAGAGAGTTGCGTGGGCATCTTTTTATGGATACAAGCTTTATTTTCTGGGTACCTTGAAAATTTCTGGGGAAATTGACAGTAGTTTCACTCCCTATAGCAACCACAGTTGATAAACAGTAGATGTTTTATTAATGCCTAAAGATGGATTTTGGGATACTAGCTCTACCCCTAGAGTAAGAGCTGAGTATTCTCATGGTCTTTACTGGGACTGTTAAACCCAGAGCCAGGCTGTCTGGGAAGCTGTTTTGTTTTGTTTGAGTTTTTTGTTTTGTTTTGCTTTTTTTTGACAGGCTCTTGTATAACCTAGGTTGACCTGGAATTCACAGATAGTGAGTTCTTCTGTCTCTGCCTTCCAAGTGCTGGACTTGAAGACTTGTGTTACCACAGGTGGTTTCTCCAGAACTTTTTAAGGTAATATGTGACAATTCCTGCTCCCCCTAAAGGATTGCAAGTGGAAATGGTAAATGTTGTGAGGAGAAGGCTCACACTGTTGAAAGAAAGAAAGAAAGAAAGTAAGAAAGAAAGGAAAAAGAGACGAAAGAAGACAGACAGAAGGAAAGAAAGAAAGAAAGGAAAAAGAGAAGAAAGAAGACAGACAGACAGAAAGAAAGAAAGAAAGAAAGAAAGAAAGAAAAAGTTTTCTTTGTGCAAAGACCTTACTGACCTATGGAACCCTTGCCATATTAACAATGCAGAGAAATCATGCAATAAGCAAAGCTTTTTTTTATTTTGCTTAACATAAGATTTGTCAAATTTTTGCCATAAGATGAACCATCCCTGCTCCTGATGTAATAGCTCGAACCCTCTACAAAACTAGAATCCTGTTAACCACTCAACCAGCCTTCCCATCCATCTTCCTTTAAGCTATGCTTTCAGTGGGTCTGGCTAGCTGTGACAGGGGTGAGAGCACTTGGGAAACTGAACCCCAGTGTGTGTCTAACATCTGTTATTTTATCCAGTTTGCATGATGGAAACACTCCCCCATTTCTTCCTCTCTGCTTTGTATCCTTTTAGCTAAGTCCAGACGAGGCAAGCTCATCTGTTTTGATGACGTGCATAGACATTGGAGTTAGGTCATTAGACATTTTTGTGTGCCTCTGCTGCATGGTAGTCTGTAAATGTTTCCAAGACTTTCTATTCCGAATGGATCTTTGTTTTACATGTCTTAAGAAAGCACTTGGAAACCAAGTAATGTACTCATAACTTGGGGCAAACTTAACTAGGCTGTTGGCTTTTGGGTATGCAGGCTTCCCCATAAACTTTTCAGATGTCTCCTGATTTAGCTTCCTATGCTTAATTTTTCTTTAAATCTCTTAAAGTCAACTGAGATACTCACAAGCAGAAAAAAAAAGTCACATTTCTTGGCTTCTCTAGATTATATATACACAACCAGTCTCTTCAGTTCCTCCTTGCCTACACCATGGCTTTCATTTGTCTCTCTCTTCTGGTCACCCACCTCCGAAAATAGGACTGGTTAGAGTCCAAACACAGTTTTCCAATGTGATTTGACCTCCAGGCTGTGCAGGGACTGTTTCTGGCTGAGGCAGAAACATTAAGCTTTTCAGTGGCCCCACGCATCCTGTGGGTCATGCCCGTGCCTGCATTCAACCTACACATAGTCCCTTCATCTGAGGTTTAAGCCCTCCTCCACACAGATGGTTAATTCAGGTCCTCTCGAGTTACATGCTAAACTTTTGTCCTTCAGCCCAAAAAACCTGCCTGGTGTTTCCCTGCACCTGTTTCTGCTTCACTTTCTTCTTTCTCTGACTTCTGACCTCCTGTCAAATTGCCCTTGCTCTTTTATGTATGCTGTCTGATGGTTCCTCTTGTATAGCTCTTTGTCTGAAGTTTTATCATCCCTGCAAAACCAGCCTAGATCAGGCTTTCCTGGATACCACCCTTCTGCAAAGCTGTAGTGTATTCCCCCTTCTCTCTTTAAACGGTCAGCGCTTGGGGAATGTTCTTCGTGTGTGATTGATACACGGTTTTTTCCTCTCACCTTCATAAGTTATCTTTCTCATAACAGCAGAGACTCACTGGTGAGCATTCATGTAGATTTGTACATCTTAAAATCCTTGTAGAGACACTCAGTCCACTGTCTCTCCTCTGCCTCTTCTTGCACAGAGATGGGCAAATACCTACGTCTGTCTCATTTTCAGATGATAATCGTGAGCCTTGGAGAGATTAGCCCAACATCTAGCTCAGTGTCCCCAGGATCACTAATTCTGCTCTCTGAAATCATCGTCCTTGAAACTTCACATTGGCTGACAAGATAGTTTGCTAAGAGTGGAGAGCATGATAGCAACTCTCTGATTTTACACTGTAAGCTTTGGTTTTGACAATTGTTCAGATGCTTAGTGCTCCACCTTGATGGCCCTGCATACCAAGGATTCGCTTATTCTGGAAAAGACTTGGATTTGGATTTTCATTTTGTTTTCTCCCATTTCTGCATTATTCATTTCTACAGCTTTTACTTGAGTAGATGATTCATGTTGTCTCAGATATGCCTTGAAAATTTTTCTCAGAAGTAATTAATCCCATCACTTGGGAGGCAGAGGCAGGCGAATCTCTGTGAGTTCAAGGCCAGCCTGGTCTACAGAGTGAGTTCCAGAACTGGCTTCAAAGCTACAAAGAGAAAAAAAAACCTGAGAGCATTCTCTAGCACAAGCATTCTAACATTGTTACACACTGAACATAGATGTAAGATTGGACAAGCCTTTGGTAAGACAGGATAAACTATCTTGTGTACAATGGAAAGGGCCAATTAAAAATATTTGATGGAAAACAATCATCTTACAGACTAGAGAGAAAGGAATGAGCCATATAGACAGGATTCTTGATGCGATATACTTTATATTTTTATTGAGAAGACAATATGTAACAGATGCATATGCAAACAAGGTATTTCTGATGGCCATATGCAGAGAGAAGAGTGCTTAGTAAGATGGGTGGAGTGGAGCCTGAGAGCCAGTGTGCTCAGTGTAGTGTGTGAGTAGAGATTTGATTTTATTTGTGTGGATATGACCTATGTTTGTGTTTGTGTCGGAAGTGTGGGTGCAAGTGGGTGCATGTGTGTGTTTGTGGGTGCAGGTGCCAAAAGTCAATGCTGGGTGTCTTCATCAACCACTTTCCACCTTTTAATAAATCTTTTGTAATTTTAATATTCTATGTATGTGTGTGTGTTTGTGTGTGAACATGGGCATGGAAGTGCCCAGGAAGGGCAAAGGCATCAGATCCCCTGAAACTGGAGATGTAAGCAGTTGTGACTTACCTGATGTAGGTACTGAGAACTGAAGTCAGGTACTCTGAAAAAAGCAGTGTGGGCTCTTAACTTCTGAGTGACTTCAACAGTTGCCACGCCTTGTTATGTTATGTTATGTTATGTTATGTTGTTATGTTATTGAAGGGGTCTCTCATTGACTCTGGAGTTCATTGATTTGGCTAGGCTGGCTGACCAGTGAGCTCTATGGATCCACTCATCTCTATCTCCCCAGCAATGAATTTAGAGAAATAAATATGCCGCTGTACCGAGCTTTTACATGAGTGCTGGGGATCTGAACTCAGGACTTTTTGGCCGTGCAGCGGGCATTTTATCCTTTGAGGCATCTCCCCAGTCTCTTAGCTGAGATTTAAATGGTAAGATATAGGCAGCCACATCAACTTGGGGGGGGTAGTTCCTTCTATACAAAAGAATGAGAAGACAAAAGCATGGGAAGGAGGGATGTTTGAGGTTTAGGAGGAGGGTCAAGAAGGCTGGGTTGTTTTGAAGAACAATGACAAGGACAGGAAGAGGGAAGTCGACATGAGGTCTTAGAGATCAAGAGAGCCACTGGAGGGTTTAATGAGGGTAAAGGGAGTAATGTTATTGGATCTGTGTTTTAGAAACATCACACTGGACTTCTCGGTATCTCAGGGATTATAGAGAGGCGGAAAGAAAAAGTGCATAGTCTGTTAATATTAATCCAGGTAAGAAATGGTGGTAGGCAGTGCCAGACATCATGGATGATAAGAGTAACAAGAGAATATTTCAGGTGTGCTTTGGATACAAATAGCACAAGAGGTTCGTGGACTCAACACAGATGTGAGGGAAGAATGGAATCATGACTCCCAGTTGCTTGGTGAAATGGAAGGATTTGCTCCCTGTGGAGGACTGATGGTTAGGCAGAGTCTGAAGTGAAAACAAGGTCACTGCTGCAGTATGCGTCATCCTACAGGGTCTACAACGTCTCTGCTGCTTAGCTCTAGGAATGGGGATGTCTCAGGCATTTTAAGAAAAAACCATGTGCCCTTTTCTTCATGTGTCATTTCCTTGTAAGTCCTAAGCCAGACACAATCTAGAAGCTAATGATTTTTAGCTTAAAAGCAGAAAAACATTACAATACATAAAATGTGTATGGAGCAGAGCCCAGGTCTAACATAGGAAGGAAGGAACTGTTCTGATACAAGGCTCTCTTCTGAGCTGTTAGAAGATAATTAACTAGTTGGTATATGGCTGTGGTAGTCTGAATGTAATTGACCCCAATAAGCTCATAGGGAGTTGCACTATTAGGAGGTGTGGCTTTGTTGGAGTAGATATGGCCTTGTTGGAAGAAGTGTGTCACTGTGGTGGCAGGCTTTGAGGTCTCCTATATGCTCAAGTCATACCCAATGACTCAGTTTGCTTCCTGTTGCCTGTGGGTCAAGACGTAGGACTCTCGGCTCTTTCTTCTGCACCATGTCTTCCTGCATGCCACTATGAGCGCTGGAGAGATAGATCAGTCAGTAAAGTGCCGGAGTCTTCCATGTATCAGTCTTAAGCTGCAGGGGTCATCTATCCCAGACTGATGTCTTTGGGACTGTGTTAGGAACCAGCCAAACAGCCCTGGGTTGGGCCCTGAGTGGGGGAGTGTGGATCAGGGAAGTCCTAGCTACCCAGCGGCATTAGGGACGAGACAGAGACATCTTGTCATTTCAGAAGGGCTCTCAGTCAATACTGGAGACCATAATTTATTCTCTTAAAAAGCTTTCCAAAAGCAGGGCTACTGGCAGAAGACATCTATTATCATGTATAGAGCTTTAATCTTGGAGACACCCCCAAAACTTACTAGCCCTCAGGGTGGGCATAGGCTTAACCAGGCCTGGGTTTTTTGTTACACAAACTAGGAGCCATTCTCCACCGTGGTCAGGCCATCTGGTAAACAGCCAGACATCTAAAAGACAATGGGAGATCTGGACTCCTGGAATTCTTGGCTGGGCCAAGCATGATGACCTGCACTCAGATCCCTAGTTCCCATGTGAAAAAGTTGGGCGTAGTGACACATATCTGTAATCCTAGTTCAAGGTAGATATAGACAAGAGAATTCATGGGGCTTTATGGATACCTAATCTAGCAAATTGGTGAGGTCTAGGTCCCATGAGAGACTCTGTATCAAAAAATAAGCTGGAAGAGTGATTGAGAAAGACAGTCTACATCAACTTCTGGCCTCTACATACACAGGCACAGGAGAAAGGGTTTATTTTGGCTTACTGTTACAGATGGATAGAGTCCATTATGGCTGGGAGTATATGGCCCCAGGAGCAGGAAACTGATTTGAGCAAACCATATCAATACTCAAGAAACAGTGAACAGGAAGTGGGGCCAGGCTGTCTGACATCAAAGCCTGCCTTCAGTGCTGCCCTTCCCCCAGCAAGTTCCACTTCCCTTAGGTTCTACAGACATCTCAAACAGTGCCATCAGTTGGAGACAAAGCGTTCAACCACATAAGCCTGTTGAGGACATTTCTCATCTGAACCACAAAATTCAAGAATAGGCAAATTCAGTTGCAAACCATATTGTCAAGAGCATGAACATTTTGGGAGAGGATACTTAAAGACTGTCAGGGGGCCACTAATGTTTCTCTTGCCTCTCTTAATTCTTTGATGATAGAGAAATGTTTTAGGGATTAGATCATGAAGGACTTCATGCCAGTGAGGAAGTGGAATAAAGGGAGCTTGGCCTAACTTGAGAAACAAGAATTGTGTGTTGTATTATTGCTTAATCTTCATCCCAACTTGGTTAGAGACATAGCATTCATCCTCCTGGCTCCTTCCTTATCTGAACTGAACTGTGATTATGAAACAAATCATGGACCTATTTCACATCCTCTCTGATCTTTTGAAACTGCACAAAATAAGGCTTAATGAAGGTGGCATGTCTCAGAATGACTTAGAACTGAGAATGTGACTACATCAAAAGTCTTTCAATGGCAAAATTTTAATGGCTGAATAATATGCTGGAACAGAGGAGTAATTTCCTCTTGAATGCTAGGATGAATTATTTATGCTTTGACAACATTATGTGTCTCTAAAGCAGCTTTTAGTTATTCGCCACTTCTGGGCTACAGCTGATCCTGCTGCCCATTCTTGTAATTACATTAACCTCTTGACTTTACATGACAAGCTTTTCCTGCACACTGCGATCAATAGCCCATAACTATACCTCTTTAATAGGGCCGTAGTTACACTTCAGTTCAGATACAATTAACTTTTGTACCCCTTTTCTTTTTGGTGGGGCATGAAATAAAATTTCTTTTTTTAACACCAGGAACAAAGAGAATCATCGTAAAGGGGGAAACAAACACAGATATGAGGATCATATGAAAAGCAGTGATTGCATTGATAAATAGACAGATGAAAATCTAATTCTGCAAGCATCTGGGACTAGAAACATTGAGAGAAGCAGTAGATATCCAAGCCCTAGATTTGTGTGGTAGCCTTGAAATCTCTAATTTAATATGCTTTATTGGTTCAGTAGGATTAAAGGCACAGTAGACTTCCTTGTTTCCCATCCAACCTATACCAATTAATTATTACACGTAAATGTAAATGGAGAAAGTATCATGCTAAATGCTAAAACATTTCTCAGGTTAGTCAAACCCTCCTCTTTGCTGGAAGTCCTTTAGGAATGGGAAACTAAAACTAGGTCCTGCTGGCTAGGTCAGGCTGTGTGTATGGGTTCTGTCAAGTCCATAACTTGAAGTAGCCATGGGGATAATTTGAACCACAAAAAAGCAGCTAATGCTAGGCTAATGTCTGACCCCTCCTCCAAAGGAAAAAGTTGCACATTTTCCTGCATACCATCGTATGCATGCACATATAGCTCACACATGCACCACTGTGTGCTTTCTTATGCAGGAAGTAGCCTTCCAAAGCTTTCTGTGATTACATTTTATTGCATTTTGTATGTTAAGCTATACAAGCAGAGACATGCACACTCACCATGGCTATCCACCCACTTGAACGAACTTGCTTTTTAGTTAGACTTCAGTTGCCTAGAGCTCTGCAAGCCCATGGATCACTTTGAGAATCTCAACAGATAGCCCACGGAAGTGAAATTAATTCATTTTCTGCTGTAATCCTGTAATATAAAAAGGTACAAAGCCCTTTGCTTTCTACCATGCTATATCATTATGGTCATATATCTTCAAACTAATAAAATAAAACTACCTATTACTAACAGCAATAATTTAGGACCCATCCAGTGTTCCTCATAGATAATGCATATCATTTAATATCACCTTAAGAAATAACTGGTGTCTGTGTAAGTCCATTGTCAGAGTACTCTAATTTTCTTTTATGGTACTGTCAGATTGCTATATTGCAGGAAAGTGATCTGTATCATATAAAGTGTGATGCCTATGCATATTACATGATCAGCAAATTAAACATGAAACAACTATATCTAGTGGGTATGGAATCAGTGGGGAAGAATGAGCGCATAGTTACTACCAAGAAAAGCTGGCTTGGAGAATCTCCCACATCCAAGGCTCAGGCAGTCCCCGTTCACATGTTTTCATGTCTTGTTGATGGGACAGACACCTGACAGAAGCAACATGCTGGAAGAAGATTTTATTCTGTCTCATGGCTTCAGGGCTATCATTGCTTATGGCAGAAAAGGTACAAAGCTAACCCTAGCCTTAATGCAGTTTTAAAATACACATATCATTCTCTACAACAATTATTGAGCACCCACCAAGGCAATCACTCTACTTTAATAACATCACTTTCTCTAAAACAATTTTATTGCTTTATTTGGATAGGCAGAATTATAATCATTATTTACCCAAGGATTCAGCTGGATTATCATAGGGTATTGCTTATAAAAGCGAGAGTCAGCTTTGAGTGTAAAGTTTTGGAAATAACCAGACAATTAGGCTGGCAATTGGGATTGGCTTCCCCTAATGGAAGTTATTATAGCCCACTCGCTCTGGACCAGATATCTTGGACAAGCAGACAGTGGGTATGGAACTGCTTCTTAGAACATCTACAACTCCAAGTGTGGACAAGGTGAGCTGTTACTACACCAGAACTCCAAATAAGCACAGTGCCCTTCCATTGATAGTGTCTGGGAACTGGGTGGTACTAACAAGATTGACTGGAGAATTTGCTCCTCTTGGGGAGCTGTAAAAGGGTTGTGTCTTTTATTGCTTGTGGTTGATGGATACATAATTTGCTCGAAAGGTAAGAAGGATGATGTGATAGGTCACTTCATGGTGTCTTTCTTATACATGTAAATTTCTTTTTGTTTAGTTCAATGGGGAGAGCCAATTTTTTTTCAAGGATATACTATCTAATGAAGCAGTTAAAGTTTATACTGTGCATTGAACTCTGGGGATGGTCATTTTTCTTTTCTTTTTATGGGTGGTCTGTAGGATCCAGGAGAGTAACAGTCTCCAGACCCATCTGAATGGAACATACACATTATGAAACAGTTTGCCTCTCCATTGCTTCTAAATCATGGGGAAAGAAGATGTGGACCCTTTCATGTAGATGAGGCTAATGGATTTGGTACCAGTCTCCACAATAGCACTTTGCCAAGAGGATTCAGAATCTCTCAGACTCAATACAGATTCTCCTAAAACATCTGGGTCCCTTTCTAGAGGAAAAAAAATCAGGGTGAGCTGATGAAATTGCCAGATGTGACTACTTGCCAAATATTGTAGTGCTTTTGCTGGCTGCTGGCTACATTAGGGATGTACCTGATGGGGGAGGAAATTCCATTCTGATCTTCTCCCTAGAAACAAAATGACTTCCCCCCCCCAAACTTTACAAACACATAGTACCATTGGAGCTATTCATTGCCCCAAAGGGTTCTCTACTTTGTGGGTAGATAGATAAAATCCTTTCAGAATTCAT